CAACGGGCACAAACTGAAGCAGAGGAAGCTCCAGCTGAAGATGAGGAAGAACTTCTTCCCTCTGAGGGGGACGGAGCCCGGGCCCAGGCTGCCCAGGGAGGCTGTGGAGTCTCCTTCTCTGGAGATATTCCAGCCCCGCCTGGACGCGGTGCTGTGCAGCCTGCTCTGGATGACCCTGCTTGGGCAGGGGGTTGGGCTGGGTGACCCACAGAGGGCCCTGCCAACCCCAACCATCCTGTGATTCAAACTGCAGGGGGGACCCTGCCAAGCAGGGCTACATCAGGTTTATACAACCCTTCTTATTAATTAAGATTTTTCAAGGTAAAATGAGAGCTATTCCAAACTTCAAAGAGAAATGGGTGGCAATGAAGTTATGGTCCTTTGGTGATGAGCTCGGAGGACCCAGCCCCTAACAGACCTCGCACTGATGAGCTGCAGCCCAGCGGCAGGAGGAAAAAACCTCCAGAAAGAAGGAAACCCCCAAACTAAGAAGGGAAAAAAGAACCCAGCAAAGAAGGGAAAAAAGAACCCACAGAAGACAAAAAACTCCCCCCAGTATAAAAGATAGAAAAGAAACCCCAAATTGGCAGGGGGACAAGAAAAGAAGAAAACAAAAGAAGAAGAAGAAAAAAAGCTGAAACCCAAAGAAGGAAATCCCCCTATTTTCTGGGGTGAGTGCGGGGCGGTTGCCAGGGAGGGGCTGGCAACACCTGCACAGCAAAATCCCCTGGGGAGGGTTTGACCTCAGCAGCCAGCTCTACAAAAATGCTCATTTTTACCCCCAAAAACCCCTTCCCTGCACTTCACCCCAGCCTGGGAAGCTGCTCCAACCCCCCCACACAGGGTGAAACACCGACACCGACAAAGCTCAAACCATTTTCCCTCCCCAGCACACACAGCACCCCATTTTTTTTAACCAGCATGGGATCCTGCGTGGGCAGTCGGGGTTTATGGTGATTTTTGGAGCCGTCCGCTCGCTGCTCCGGGGTCCGTGGGGGATATCGGAGCTCTCCTGGCTCTGGGAGCACCCAAGCAGGACACGGGGATGTGGTCCAAGCCCTTACGTCCTTTAAGAGCAGTTGGATCCAGCAATCCTGGAGCCCTCTTGGCCCCTGAGAGTGGTCTGTTGAGCTGGATAAATTAATTGCTCTGTATTAATTAGCTAAATACTCCAAACCCTGCAGTGCCCTGCTGCCAAGCAGGGACAGGAAGGTGTCTGATTTACCAAGCTGATAGTAAACACACCCTAAAAGTACAAAAGCAATAATTTGGGTGATTGGGGTTTTCTATGCTCTTCTCCGAATCGCCCGTCCCGCGTCGCTTTGCACCCCTCATCTTCACAAATAAGCGTCCCCCATGCAGGCAGAACAACCAAATATATTTGTCTTGCTTGAAAAAAAATCCCCAAAGAGAATTTTTGGTGCTCGGCTGGACATTTTGCAGAGGGCTGGAGAAGAAGCAGGCTCAGCTGGAGGCTCCAAACGCAAAGCGAGCGCCCAGACCTCATCCGGGGATGATTTTATCGCTGCGTCCGATCCGGCGCGGGAGCCGAGCGGAGCCGCCTCGCCGAGCAACCATCTCCCGTCTGAGCCCAGCCCGAGCTCCCGGCATCGACCCTGGGGATGGTTTCGCAAGGCTGGGGCTCCCAAAGAACCCTCCAAAACTCGGCTGAGCTCCGCAGCCTGCAGCGCTGGAGGCCGGCGACGGCTCCGCTGCCCTTCCAGACCCTGAAAAAGCCTTGATTTCGCTGGCAACCCCTCGCCTAGAAAAACCCCTCGCCAACGGATCTGGGCATCTGGGCTTGCT